ATGCACAGAGATGTGGAGGAAATGGTTTGTCAGGGAACAAATACCTGGCCATGTTGCCATGAGAACTACTACAACCATTGGCTTTATTGGAACGAGTATAGGAGGAGATATCCCTGGACTTCATAGATGGGCTGCCCCATTCAAAAGGTTTCACAGTGATTCTGGTGGTGGTGGACAGATTGAGCAGTATGCTCATTTCATTCCCCTCCAACATCCATACACTGCGGTGATAGTGGCTTCAGCTTTCATCAGAGAGGCAGTCAAATTGCATGAAATGCCAGAAGCGATAGTATCAAATAGAGATAAGGTGTTCCTCAACCACTTTTAGAGGGAGTTGTTCAAATTAATGGGGCAGCTATGAAGAGAAGCACTGCCTACCACCCACAGACGGATGACCAAACAGAAGTGGTTAACAGGAGCTTGGAGACCTACTTGAGATGCTTTGTGTCAGAGACACCCAGGCTATAGGCCAAGTAGCTATCATGGGTCGAGTATTGGTACAACACCTATTATCATTCCACTTCTCATATGACCCCATTCAAGGTGTTGTACGGAAGGTATCCTCCTCACTTGGTGCACTTTGGGAGTAGCAATACTCCAGTTTTTTAGTGGAATACTTGGAGGAGAGAGACAGAGTTTTAGAGGAGTTGAAGAGACATCTACTGAGAGCACAACAGATTATGAAGAAACAAGCATATGGACAAAGGAAGGATATCCAGTTCGAAGTAGGGGAGAGGGTGTTCTTGAAGCTCCGACCATACAGACGAAAGGCAATCGCCAACATAAGGAATGAGAAGCTTGCTCAAAGGTAGTTTGGACCTTATGAAGTATTGGAAAATATTAGAGCGATAGCATATCGACTGAAATTACCACCAACAGTGACTATACATCCGATTTTCCATGTATCCCAGTTAAGAAGGGCAATTGGAGATTATGCAGCCAACTCGGAGTTACCGTTGACACTCACGTAAGACTTAGAGGTGATTTTGGAACCGTTAGAGTTGATGGGGGTTCGCCAAAGGGAATATGGAGCTAAAGAAGTGTTGATTAAATGGAAAAACATTCAGGAGTACGAGGCAACGTGGGAACCTTATGAGAAGATGAAAGATCAATTTTCCAATTTTCACCTTGAGGACATGGTGGTTCTTCGGGTAGGGGGTAGTAATATGGTTCTTCCTGAACTGACAAAATCGGCCCCGCCTGGGCCGGTTCACGTTTACAAGAGGCGGGCTAAGCCGCCTCCTTAAACAAGCCGCCAAGGCTTGTGGGCCCCCCTAGGGCTGAAATTAGAGAGAGAAAAGGGGGCGGCTAACACTTAGGGAAACTATTTTGAATTTGGTTTATTCTAGGAAGCTTTTTATTGACTTTTTATTAGGAAGATATGTATTTTAAAAGAAAAGGGAGGCTAGGGTTAGGGCATGCATGCTTTGAGTTAGGGCAAGCAAGCTTTGATTTGTTCTCATGGAGTTTTCTTTGACGTCTTGGGCTCTAGATTCATCATCTAGTGATTGGGAGAGAACGATCCTCCTCTCGAATTGATGATCAATTGTATCTTGCTTGGTGTTTTCTTTTGCTTTGATTCCATTATTACAATATATCGTTTTGGATTGATTTCATCAAGTTTGTCTCATTACTCTCACTGTTTTTACCAATTATTGCTCAGGTTTCTTGTGAACTCAAGTACTTCCTCTTGTATTAATTGCGAACTCAAGTATCTCCTATCAAATGCACACAAAAAAGGCAAATGAAAGTGCACCACAGCTTCAAAAAAAACTTAATCTGATAAGCTGGTATTCCTTTCAAATCCTTCCTTGCACTCATGCCATATAAACATGGAAGATTCATATTCAAAAGAGAGAACATGCAACTGGAGGAAGAAGAAAAAAGACAACATTTTTAACATGGTTCAGATACCTTGCATTGACGTCCCCACTCTCAATTTATAATTGTAAGTTGGGATTTATTATTAAAGGTAACCTAAGGCATTATTTAGAAGCATGGGCCTTAACTATGATTGCAAAAATCAACCAAGCAAGAGGTTGTTCAAGCTCGAGCTCATTTATCAAAAGCATGGTTAGAACTCAAGTGACTTTATTCATGCATCTTATGCTCAAGCAACTTAGAAGATTCAATTAACTGAAGGATTTTTCATTGACTATGACTTGAATCGATCTGCAAGATGGACCTTATCATTGTTGCACATAAATTCCTCATTCATTTCAAACTCACTTATTCGACATTAAGGGGGTTTAAAATAAAGATGGTGTAGTCGCAATGCTTCTTTTCTATGCTGGTGTCAACTTTCCCTCTTCCGGAGTTGACGAGTAGTATATGGCTGTCTCATAGTTTTCAAATTAAAGTAAGGATTTGCCATTAAGACCGGTAGGCATTTCTTGGGCCTAGCTTTAAGAGATATAACTTAAATTTTAGGGAGTGCCATGTGGCATGCTCACTTTGGTTACTTAAGCAATTCTTGTTGATTGTTAAAAACAAGAGAAGTATTTTTTATTTTTTTGTATTTTTAATTTATTAATTTTCTTTCAAAAACACTCAAAAAAGTTTTAAATGTATTGGATTGTTTTTCAAAACATGTTTTTTTCCAACCCAAATCCAGCCTCTATGTTTTAACTCAATACCTGCTCCAAAGAAGAAGAAGAAAAGAGCAAAAATAAGGAAGAAGAAGAATGATGAAAAAGGAGGAAGAAAGAGGAAGAAGAGGAAAGAAAAAAAAGAGGAAAAAGAGGAAAATGAAAGGAAGAGGAAGAAGAAGTGAGAAGAAGAAGAAGAAAAGGAAGAAGAAAAAGAGGAGGGTAATGGTTGTGTGGCCACAGTGTGGGAAGGCTAGCAAGGAGTTCCAGATACAAGTGACGAAGGAAGGCAAGAGAAATATAAATAAAGAGCATCAGTGAGGGAGAAGGCTCATAGTCATTTAGAAGAATGGGATAGGATTTACCACGGCATGGGGGCTAGGCATGGATACCATAGCATGGGGGTTGGACATGGGTGGGCATTGAGTATGCATTCCAATGAAGAAGGTCAAAATCCAACTTTAGGCATTCCTCAAATGTAAGTCCCCAACCCAAGTGATAGGGCTAACAGAAAGTTAACAAGCTTATCAAATCAATCTTAATTCTTGCACCTTCCTAAGAACAATAATAAGTTAGATAGGCACTTAGTAGCAATAGATTTAGATCTGTAAAATAAGAAAATTACCACTATACACTTAAAGCGGAAGGTAAGAGGAAAGATGATAAAACCCGATCAAAATCTCATCTTTTCGTCATCCCTGGTCATTATGATATCTAATCTACATATGCAGAGGAGATAGTCAATCCAACCTGACCAAAGTATCCTTATCAGCAGTCATAGATAACTTTATATAATGGTACTTTATAGACTTTGGGTAAATATTTCAAAGAGACAAATTCAAGTCAACCTTAACTAACAATGGGCTTTATGCCCTGTTAGGTCAAACCACTGGTCGTGCGGAATCGTTGGGCCAAATCAACAATTTTGTGTAGTCATTGAACCAAACCACGTGTTAGAAAACACTTGCCACGTCCTTGCTGGCAAGAGATTATTTGAGAATTAATCTTAGAGATATTCTTGATTAAAAATTTGCTCTTTATGGTCTGAAGTTATTCTTGAGTTAATTGCCCCCACCAAATGTTTGTGAAGGGTATATGAGTTTTTTTTGTTTTTAGTTATCAGGTGATTTTTTTTTAATATTGGAATTTAATAAATTTTGAATTTTAAAATATTGATAAATTTTAGCAATTGACCCCTCTTGATAGAATTCACTTTCAACACGACCATCACCGAAATGTAAGGTATGGCTGGACTGATTGTAAGAAAAAATATACAACTCAGAATTTGATTTTGCTCCATCCAGTAAAGTCGCAGGAGAGAAAAAAGGAATTCAAGAAGGCAGTGGCCGAGAGGAAAAGAGATTATAAAAAGAGAAAGTTGGAGAAGAAAGAGTGTTATTTATCATTAATATTCATCGAAGAATTTGTGCATGGCTAGAAGGAGAAGAAGAAAGAGGAGTTCATGAATCTCCATTTCTGATGTAGGGAAAGAGTAGATCTTTTTTATTTTTCGGTTCAAATTTAGAAAAGAAAGAAATATATAATATTAATTTTTGACTAAAACAATTAGTGTGTAATTATTCAATAGAAAGAAATTCAATTGATGAAAATCTCGACAGGAATAGGAAGGAAAAAAATTTAATTGAGGTAATTAATTTTAATTTAAGAATATTTAATTTCAATCATTTTAAAGATTAACAGTAGATGATATAATTGTAAGTATGATATGCTAAAATCAAAGCATTCAATGTTACTTAAAATAATATCTAATGCATTTGCCGATATATGACAATATTCAATTTATATTATAACAGTTACCATATTGATAATATCCAATTCATTCAACATTAATTTGATGATATTTAATTTTAAAAGCATGTTAGAATTCCTTGATTTAATTTTATTCCTACTGAATTTTTTCTATCCTAAAGGCTGAACACTATTGGCTTCAACTTTAGTTTAATCTTTTGGCATAGGTTTATCTATATTGTTTTTAATTTTCTCATTAATATGTGTGCAAGGGTGATCAAGTTTGTCAATAACCTTTGGTAAAAATACATTCAGTGATTTTTCCTTCTTACAATTGTGGAATAGTTCCTGTGACTAATGAGAGATTATTCACAATTCAACAACAGTAAAATACAACAAAAGATTTTATTTGTAGAAGTTAACTCATATTTCCAAAGTGCTTTTTAAAAACTAGAATCATAATAAAAGAATATTGATGGTTCCTCTCTAATTACTAAAACAAATTACATATTACACTTGCTCTTATTCTTTGAATGAGACCATTCATTAATATAGCCTAATGTTCACGTGGTGTACCTGAGCTATAGATAGTATCCAATAAAATTCTCATAATCTTGACAAATATAAATATTTAAACAATGGATAACTTGAACCTTAAATCACCTGCATTTGATCAAAATAAGCATGCCTGTGTTGCTCTATGTACTCCCATGCACCGACCTCTGCAATAGCAAATTAACACCAATTCATGAACACCATAATAATAAAAATAATTGTTATTGCCAAAATTTAAATGCATAAGACCATCTAAACATAAGAAAATAGCTGCAATAGATCCCTTGTACTAAATTTAAAATGTAAATTGAGATACATATCCTAGATAATTAACAGAATTTCCAAGGAATAGAAGTTAGCATCATGTCCAATTTAAGGAATTGTTACCTCAAATAAAACTTGGCTTTCCAATGTGTTAGCTTTTACTAAAATGACTTCTTGCACCAATATCATCGGGGCTTTACATAGTTCAACAAAAAATGCTTCAAAACGCTCTATATATGCTACAAAAGAAAACTTCTACAAATATCTCAATTCCTCAAAACCTTTAACGACAAACAAGAAATAAGAATCCAATCTCATTAACTTTTTCAGAGTTCTCACAATCTTCTAAATAAGTGAAGAGCATAGTTCAAGTTCCACCTGAAATCTAACACTAAACATCTAAGAAAAGGCAACCTCGAATTTAGGGGTAAAAATAGCCAAGCTCACGAGCCTTTTTAATCAAGCAGTTCAAATTTTATCATGGGCTTGGGCTACCCCACATTGGTGATGACTTAAAGTGCTAGACTCAAAAATGTGAAATAAATTTGAGTTTACAATGGCTGGCTTTACCAAAAGTGATTTCAACCAACAAAACTTTAATATATGTGATTAATGAGCTTGTAAATAAAAATGTATTGGTTTACCTGTAAGCATTTAATTTTATTTTATAATAGTTCATAGGCTCAAACCCGCTTCTCAATATTAATTTCATTTTATTTTGATTCATTCAACAATTGGCGATGGTTGGAGACGACAAAACTAAATTATAAATGTAATAATGGGCCATCCATGAGCCTATTAGTGCAGGCACATTTAATCCCATGCCCAATGGGTTCGGCACTTCGGCCAATTAAGAATTTAAAGGATCAATCTAATGGATTAAATGGGTAACCTAACCACACATTCATTTATAGAAGGACATAAACAAATGGATACCCTTGCCTACTTAACACCCCTACTTCAGTTCTGAAGAGAGGGAATTTAAAAGAACTTTGCCATTTGACAAGCCTACTCTATCTTTCAGGCAAGAAAAGTAAATAAATCCTGTATATTTGATCTAGAAGGATTTAAAGATTTGCACTAGGTCATTTTAAAGAAGAGGACCGGACATAAGCTACTGCTTTAGTTTGGTCCAACTAGAGCACCAAAATTCCCTTGGAATTAAATTCTGACTCTTTTAGTTACTTGAGGAATCTTGATTAAACTTAACATACCTCATATTTAACATCATTCAACATACAACAACTCATTCATGAATGAGTTGCTTTATTTGAAACCTGTCATATATTACTTAATTTAAAACATGGCATTAATGTATGAGATATTGATGCGGACATCAGATCATGAAAAGTCTTTCAGAGACATGGACGAAGATCGACGGCCGCGATCGCGCCGATCTTTTTTTTTTTAAGTCTTCATATGTATTTATTTTATTTATTTGCTTTATGTATTTGTTTTAGCAGCATTTTCTGTTTTGCCCTTACTTAAGGGTTTTGTCATATGTAAGCCCCAGGAGCAATGTCGTCTTTTATTTACCTTTCATAGTAGGAGGCTATATATAAGCCCTGTATGTTTCTTTTGAGGTTAATGAATGAATGAATATTAATGAAATTTCCTGCACTCTTGTGTTTGTGTGAGTTCGAGAGAGTTTAGAGAGGTGAAGCCCAAAAGATGCTCAAACGGAGTACCCAACAGCCACCATTGGTGAGCTCCTTGTTTTTTTTCCCCCACTTCTTCTCCCTCCCCTCCTCCTTCTCCCTGCACCGCCGGCCAACCTCCTCACTAACAGCCGGCCAAGCCACCACCTCCCCTATTCCTCCCCTCTTTCCCAACCCCCAACCACAAATCACCCACGCTCTACCATCGGCCCCCCTCATCCTCCTTCACACCGCTGGCCTCCAACTAGACCTCCTCCCTTAACTACCAGCTCCAACCAACCATGCCACACTCGCCGAACCCTATCTTCCCCCTCCCCTCCTTCCCCCTTCCCCTCCTTCCTTTCTTTCCTAATCTCATCTAGGGAAAGAATTGAATATTTTACTAATTTAGATCATCTTAACTTTGGAAAGAATTCAATTTTCAAATTCAAATTAAATTGAATTTGAAACCCTTTCCTAAAAAGAGATTGATTTATTTTGGAAACTCCCAAATCCTCTCAAATCGGAAATTGATTAGAGATTTCTCTCTAATTCTCTTTCCCCAATTGGCAGCCTAAGTTTGGAAGGAATTTAAATTCCCCCAATTAAATCCCCATGCATGGTCGGCCCACCCACTCTCCCCTATTTAATTAATTCCCCATTAAGTTCTCAAATCAATTCCCCTAATCTTTCCCAAATCCAGCCGCCACCTCTCCCTATCTCCTAGCCAACTTAATTGCCCCTCCAAGCAAACCCTAGCCGCCAGAAACCTGTTCCCAATAGCTGTCCAGAAATTTTAAACTAAGAAATACTGCCCAGAAAATTCCGACCAGCAGATTTGCCACCAACTTCACTCTTGTTTGCTATCCAGCAACCCTTCAAGATCTGTCAAGGGTTTTCCTAGGCATTGTAGGTTGCTGCTCAGACTTTTCCAAGTATCAAAATTGCTGTCCAAGACCTGCGGATTGCCAAAGTGCTGTCCCAAGACAGCTAGGAGGTTCGTGTTGGTGTTCATTCCTTTCCAAACATCCAAACGATCACGCCGGAGCTCCGTATTTGTCTTTTTCTTGGGTAAACTTCTCCTCATACTCTTATATCTTCCTAGTTTACTTTTCAATTGTGGTTATAGTTTGATTCACAAAGATTCTTGTTGATCCCTATGCTAAAGCATAGTAATTTAGAGAGTTGAGTGAGGGATCCTTTTATAGCAACTAATATCGTTGTTAACGTAGGAATTTATCATTGAAAACCTTCTACGCATGCACACTTGAGTAATTGATTATTATGTGGTTTCAACTTCTAGATTGTGATCTGGCCTAAGCTTGTTTTATCTCTTTATTGTTTTTATTTTATCGTTTGAATCAATATAAGTTTTACTTAATGTTGCTCTCTCTAAATTTGAAGTGTGCAAAATCCTACATCAAATATCATCTAAACATTGTAGCCATGCATCAGTTATTTAGTTTAGATCATTGTCATAATTAAAATTTCTCATAATTTCCTAATGGCATGAAATAATTGAGACTTATACAAGAAAGTAACTAATCAAAGGCAAAAGCTTCATATATTAAAATATTTTGAACTAATAAAAATGGCCATGAATCAATAAATAATTGTTAAAATAAATCTAGAGATCAAAATAGTGCCATGCAAACATTGAGCTATACTGAATATTAAGACATGCTAGAAATGTAAAAACCATTTAAAAAAAAAAAAAATCAAAACACATGTTAAAGTAGGTGTCACTAATTTGGCAAATTACAAGACCGCATAAATGATTAAGCAATTGAGAGTGAGCAAGGGGCCAAGGGAGAAATAGAATGAGGAAAAGAGAGTGAGTGAGAGAGAGACTGAGGGGTTGAGAAACTGTGAGAAGAGAATTATAAAGAGTGTGAGCAACTGCAGGCGAAGAAGGGCAGATGAAGTCGTTCGATCTACAGAGGTCAAGAAAGTGATCAATTGATCAAGGAGCACCTGCCAACTATTAGGCCCAAGAAAGTAAGATGAGAGAGATTGAGCATGAGAAATTCGGGAAATGACTAATTTTTAATATAATTTAAATGTTTTTTTAACCTAATTTTGTTTAAATGAGGAGATTGATATACTTAATTCAGAATATTTTACTTTAGAATATGAGTCCCTAATTATAAATAATAATAACAATAATGAAATTATAAAAAAAAATTTAGTTAATTAAAACTAATGATGAAAAATTAGGAATAATTTTATTAAAAGTTTATGTCTTTATGAAATAAAAAAGTTAGAAAATATTAAATTTATAATTAAATTATAAAAAAATATATCAAAATCAAGATAATTTTAAAATATTTTGAACAATAATAGTTAAATTATGATGAAATATCAAATGTTTAATAAATTTAAAATCAAATATGATGTATAGGCACATATTTTAAATGGAAGAAAAATAAAAAAATAAAATAATCAAAACAATTTTCAAATAGATAGAAAAATAAAAGAATTAAAATGAATAGTCCATATAATTAGATATTATGTTATGTTAAGTAATAAATTAGAGTTAAAATATTACAAAAAATAAAATAAAATGTAATTTAGATATGAAAAGGGGACATTATAAAAAAGAGAGAGTTTAACACACTTATAGTTAAAAGAAGCTTTATTAGAGTTAATTAAGAAACTTATGCATAAATTTTACAATAATTGTTAATATAAATATCCATTAAGGGAAGCAACATTTGAAGAATAAATGACAAGCTAATCTTTCGAATAAGGTGAGTAACTATATTTCTCTTTCATAATAATTATGTTCAATTTTTTACATTTTAAAATGATTGATTGTTATGCACTTTGATGCACATTTAATATTACAAGTTTATTTATGAAAATTTTGTAATTCATGCACACAAGATTCTTCAAATTACCATGAATATTAATTAGAAATAATTTCATTTAAATAGCCAATAATGTAAAGTAAAATAAAGTAAATGTAGTGTAAATCATTTTAGTTCATTTTTTAGGTAAACTAAAATCGCCAAATTTTGAGCGAAAATCATTTACAATGCAAGCAAGCTCACTTGACCTCCACCACCCGCCGCTTCGCACCACCGCTAGCAGCCTCCATGCGTCGCCGTTGCTGCCGGCCACCACCATCATCGACTGCCGCCAACCATCACCACCCACCGCTAGCCGCCACCACCCGTCGTCGTCGCCATCACTGCCGCCAGCTGCCACCACCCGCAGTTGGCCACCACAACAAGCCACCGCCACTCGTCGCTGGCCGCCACCACTGACCACCATCTTGAAAATTTACACTACATTCATTTACTTCAAATCAAACAAAAAAAATATTCCCCTACATTTACTTTACACTCATCCAAACAACTCTAAAGAATTCCTTTTACACTATAATCTTTTATATTGCATTCATATTACATTGCATTCCTTTTTTAGCAAATCAAATAGTCCCTTAATGAAGCATGAAAGAGTAGTTGCATGTGCTTCTAAAGGGTTAAAGAAATATAAAAGAAATTATCCTCCATATTATCTAGAGTTAGTAATAGTTGTGTTTGCATAAAAGATCTATAGACATAATAAAGAGTTGGATGTAAAGTCTTAACTAATTACCAAAGTTTAAAATATATATATACTAAGAAAAAATTTTTGAGACTGAAGATATGTAGGTTCTTATGAAAATATGGAAAGAATTGAAAAAGTGGCTTATATATTGATTTTATCAGTACATATGTATGAAATGCACAATGTGTTTCACATCTCTTTTCTACAAAAATATATAGCTAATGAGTCTAACAAGGTTGTTTTTGTTCTAGCTATTAGATGTCCAATCTAATCTCACATACATTAATCTGATCTTACATACGTGGAAGAACTAGAAAGAATATTGAGATAGAATGTGAAATGACTTGTAAGTCAATATGTTCCTTCTGTACTAGTTTTATGGAAGCATGGAACAAAATAAGATGTGATACCGAAGAAGGAATCAGAGATAGAGAGAATATTATCAATATCTCTCATTTGAGGTATGACTTTTTTGCTACATTTTAAATTTTGAGGGCAATTTAACTAAGAATGAGAGATTCAAATAACCGTTTAAGAAAATTTTATTGAAACGCCTATAAAAATAGGTGTCGTAAATTTTGCAAATTACAATATTGAATAACCGATTAAGTTCGTCAATTAAAAGAGAGCAAGGGAGCAATCAAGGTAGAAATAAAGCGAGTCAAAGAAAAGGATCAGGTGAGAGAGAATGGAGCAAGAGACAAAAAGAAAGAAAGCGAGCAAGAGAAAAAGAGGGATTAAGCAAGAGACAGAGAGAAGCAAGGTAGGGATCGAGCAAACCTGCAAGTGACCATGAAAGGAAGAGCAAACAAAGTTAATTGATCCAGAGAGGTTAGGAGAGATATCAATTGATGGACAAGCACCTGCAGGTGATTAGCCTCAGGAGAGAGAGAGAGTTAGAAATAGGGAAAGATCGAGACAAAGAGTTGGACAATACAATTGAACCAAGAGCAAGGAGTGATCTAGTGATTGAAAAATTGATGGCTTTTACTTGAAATGAAAGTTTCATATAAAAATTATTTTATTTTAATTAAAAAAAAATAGAAAACTCTGAAATAAGGAATCAGTTTAGTAATAAATTAACAAATCCTATATAAAAGCATACTCTAATGAAATAGTTGTTTGGTATGTCTTAATTTCATTACATATCCAATTATGATATGATAATATTTTGAAGCAATGGAGATTCAGTTTAGGTTTTTGTTAGGCCAAAACTATGCTAACCTAGTCAAGTTACATTTTAAGAAGATAAGAGCTAAATTCAAAATAATATAATAGAACCAATGCATAAAATTACAACTATCACCAGTGGAAGACAATTTTATCATGTTTGTAAGTTAAATCAATCATAATTCAAATTTCAATGCATAAATTCCAGCTAACGCCAGCTAAAGACAATGTTTTCTAGTTTGGATTATAAACCAATCATAATTTTACATGCAATCAATAATTATCACTCAAAAGCAATACAAAAATGTGATGCCACAGAGAGATGGATAGAACTGAAGAGTACCTTTGAAAAAAGATATTGTTGCAGGAGTCAGTGTGCTGACCCTTGGATGAGGTACCTCATCTTTCTTAAAGTGTACCCTTGATTTTAAGGCAGGATTGCTATCAATGATGGCAACGCTCAATTCTTTGGTCAATGGCATGCTTGCTTTCAGATACAAAGCAAATTAACATAATAATTGAAATAAAAAAGGAAAGCCATAAATCAGCAAACAAATGCAATTATGTAGAAGAGAAGATTAACATTGATCTAAAACTATATTCAAACAAAAAAGCAAATCAAATAATAAAATCCATTGATGTGATACAAACAGGACTTGCAAGGTATTAATAAAATTATTGTAAAGCTTGTCACATTAAGATTAATGAACCGCAAGAATTAAATTTAAGAATTCTCAATTGATGTTTTGCTTTGGCATGCAGTAACAAGTTAGGAGAACAAAACAACTAAAATAATATCAGAAAATACATTAAAACTAAATATGTTGTAATAAGAATTCACGGGTTAATATTTAGAACTTTCACCAAGAGTTTCCTCTCACTCAAACTCTATGAAAGGCTTTTAGCTGAGAGAGACTTTCAGCAATCCAAACGACGCAACCAAGAGGGTTAGGATGCTGGCGGTTTTGATCCATGGGAAGGTAGCCGAAGAAGGAGACGCAGGTGGATGTCCGACGAGTTGCCATTGTCCGGAGGGTCGTTGTTCGTCGATAGTCTCGGCTAGGTGGAATAGTATGCGATCGACGTAATCGTCGACGGAATATTCTAGCTCCCAGTCGAGGTTGAAAACAGCGATTGAAGAATATCGATTTATCCTAGAGAATCGTACGTGAAACCGTGGTCGACTTTAGGATCGGTCATCCATGAATACATGAGACTCCTTTCTTGGGATTCTTGGAGGGGCCGGCGGCTTGTGAAGGAGTGAAGGAGAGGAGGAGCCGGTGGTTTGGGGGATTTGGGTAGAGAGGGAAAGTGAAGGGGACGGCTAGGGTTATGGGTGGGGATTCCTTGGGTTAGGGCTAGGGAGGTGGAAGAAATAACTTAGAAAATCTAAACTTAATTTCATATTTTTAAAGAGAGAGAAAGGGATTAATTTGAATTCCAAATTATCCCAAATAGAGCTATAGGTGCCGGCGGCTTACGAGGGAATTAAGGGGGAATTTAATTGGTGTTAGGGATTAAATTGGAGAGATAAAAGGCAAGGGGGAGGGGCCAGCCATATGAGGAGGGAGAGAGGTTGTTTAGGTTCAATGTATGTGGGCCCTTAATTTTAATTAGGAATTGAAATCAAATCTCAAATTTAAGTTCAGAATTGATTTAATTAAGGAGGTTTCCTAAATTAGATTTGTCAATAAGGAAAGTATTTAAATTCAAATATTAATTTGAATTTAAATAGGAAACTTTTCTAATCAATAGGCTTAATTTAGGATGATAATTAAGGGGAAATTTGAATTGGAAATCAAGCTTGTGGGCACTAGTTGGCCGGCGGCTTGGAAGCCTTGGGAGGCCAGCGGCTTGGAGGCCTTGGGAGGCCGGCGGCTTGGGGAGGTGGGGCGGCGGCAAGGGTAATGGCCCACGGTTTTTAAAGGGGGGGATGTGGTGGAGTAGGCGGGTGGGGAGGTTGGGAGGGAGCCGACGGGTGTAGGAAGGATGGAGGTGGTTGGATGTAAGGGGGAAAAGAAAAAGGTAAGCCATGAGTCTCGGACTCTTCCAAAGATTGACGGGTATTGCAATCACCCTCACCTAGGGCTCTCTTTCTTCTCTCAAAGCTCACCACAACGAAGAAGACAAAAACTGAGAATTTTATTCATCAAATCATCATCCCAAATACAATAGAAGGGGGCCTTATATATCGGCCTCAACATGACAAAAGAAAAAGGACTAGAGTGCCCTTAGGGCTACAATAACAAGCTACTACCCATAGGGGTAAAATAGGGAAAACTAAAATATAAAAATAAACAATACATAAAATGCATCAAAAATAAAGGGCTCCTGATCGTGGTTGTCGATCTCTGATGCCTCCTCTAATAAACATGCCAAAATGTCCTGCTGATGTCCTCATCACCCATAAATGGGTAAAAATAGCAAGCCATCTAATGAACCGAGATATAGATCAATTTTTAGCATGGCAGGTCAAGAAGGTTCACACAATAGCCTCTTTTTTATTGTAAAACATGAAAAATGGCAAAAAAATGTCATTTTACACTGGTCATGTTTTACAATGGAGAGATTGCCATGAGAGCTTCCTTGAAGGAAACCTGTTTTACTAGACAAGGTTCTAGGGTGATCTGATCAATTTTTCAAAGCAAAAGAGATACAACTTGGAGCTTATTATCCTCGCATCAATATAGATTAATAATTTTTCACCTTTCAATTTCCATCAGGGCAAATGTTCATGTGATCGTGTCTTCATGTTCTCAAGTTTACATCCACAACTAGTATTTTATCATCATAAATAGCCTTACCGTTATCCCAACTCTTTAGAGTCCCCTTTATGAATCCTCATTCTCTCCATTCATTTGTTAGGTGTTAACCTCTTATGTACAATTATTTTTGAAGACATTCTATCCACATCACCATTGGTCGGGAAATCTACATATTGATATTAATACAGCTTAATATTATGCGATGCAAAGATAAACTAATTGCCATGTCCTCACTGGATCCGCATCCTAACTTATTCAAAATTTGTTATTTCTTCCTATTTTATCTTATGCTGCAACCCTTATTTCATGCATAATTCATTGAAGAAAATCAATAAATAATCAATCCATTAAAGCATATTTGTTATCAAGCTTGTATCCTAATGATAATGACTTAAAAGCCCACATTTATAGCTAAGCTAACAGAAAAGATATCGGTCATTAAACACAGCAGAGATGAACTAATTGTCATATCCCCACTTAAGTTTCATTAGTATCCTAACTTTTCAAAATGTGGTGCAGCCTCTTATCTGTATCACATAATGCACCCAGTTTATCATGCATGATTCATAGCAAATAACTTATAAAGAATTCATCAATTTACAAAGCAAGTGTAACGACTTCATGGTCCATAATATTAGCTATGTGAAGAACAAATGAATTGGTTATCAGCAATGTATGTTAACAGTAATACCTACATAGTCGACATGCAAGAGCTAAGCCAACCATGCCTCCACCAACTATAGCAATGTCATATTCTTCATCCTTGGTTATCGTTGAAGACATAACTTCATTCATCTACGCAGTGAAATAAAAGGAAAAAGCTTGAATCAATTAATGAAAAATACTAATATACAAAATGGAAACAAATAATCTCACAAGAGCCCAAGTTATGACAATCGAAAAGCTTTCATTTAAAGTATTAAATAAATCACTATTCATGGTATCAAAAAAAAAATTATTTAAGAAAAGATAACTAATTTGAATTCAGATTTTGGAGAGAATTAGGAAATGTTTATTTAGGGAAAGAGGACTGAATTGAATTCAGATTTGGAATGGCATTAGGAAAGGTTTATTTAGAAAAATAAGGTTGATTTGAATTCAGATTTATGAGGGAAGTAGGAAGGTTTATATTAGGGTTAATTGGGTTATTTTACTTTCATTATGTAATTGTGTTTGTTGTAGTCTTTGGAGTTTTTTCTAGCGGTGTCTGGGGTTTGTGGAGATATAATCTACCTCTTGAATAGTAGATCAACTTGCATCTTGGTTTGTTATGTCGATATAAAAATCTTTTTTGTTCATTGCTGCTACGTTTTCTCTTCATTATTGATGTTTTTGTTGTGTGAAAATCAGATTCTTATCAAATTGGTATTAGAGCACGTTTTTTGGGACCTATGGAGACTACGAAGGTTAATGCGTTAGAGGAGAGGCTTGATGGGGAACTAGAAATCTGAAATCAGAATTCAGAGAATGAATTTCAACAATTTAAGAGCAGACTTTCGAATCTAAGAGAGATTATGAAAAAAATGTTAGAGTTTTAAGCCAAGACGGTATCTTCGGAGGCAAGGGTACCGTTGACCAGACAAGGAAATGGGAGAAACCCTAATATAGGGGTGATGAAGAAGGATTGGGAGGTGGAAATTTTGGGAAAAGAAGAGGAGATGTCAACTTTGGAGCCACTTCCAAGGAGGGGAAAGAATGAAGGAGCGAGATTTTTGGTGAAGTTGCATAGTTTGAAAGAAAAAGATGAGGAGAAGATAGAAGCACTAGGCATGGTTCAGCCATTCCTACAATAGCATCGAAAGGTGTTTCAACCAGTTCAGAGGTCGCCTCCTCCACTGAAACACGAGCATGCTGTCATCTTGAAGGAATGAGTCTCACATATCAGTATTCATTCGTACCGTTATCCCCAAATCTAGAAGGGTGAGATCAAGAAATTGATTAACAATATGATGGAGGCAGAGATCATTCGACCTAGTGTCAGTCTATTTTCCAGTCAAGTGTTATTATTCAAGTGCTTCAATAGCAGTTTCTTTCGTTCCACCTTGAAGATAAGGTGGTTCTTTGGGAGGGAGTATTGATGGACCGATTGAGCTTGTGGACCCCACTAGGGTGGGCAGCGGGAAAGAAGAGCAAGGGGGTTAATCCCACTTTAATTACTTACCATAAAAAATTAAAATTGGGAGGGAATTAGGAAAGGTTTATTTAGGGAAAGATTGGTTGATTTGAATTATGATTTGGGAGGGAATTAAGAAAGGTTTATTTAGGAAAAGAATGCTGATTTGAATTCAGACTTGAGAGGAATTTAGGAAAGATTTATTTAGGGAAAGAGAGCTAATTTGAATTCAGATTTGGGAGGGAAGTTGGAAGTTTTATATTATGGTTAATTGAGTTGTTTTATTTTCATTATGTGATTATGTTTGTTGTAGTTTTCTTTGGAGTTGTTTCTAGTTGCGTCTAGGGTTTGTAGTAGATCAACTTGTATCTTAATTTGTTGTGTTGGTATAAAAATCTTTCTTGCTAATTTATGTTGCATTTCCTCTTCATTATTGCTGGTTTTTTTTTTTGTGGAAATTAAATTCCTATCAAAAACATGGAAAAACATGGAAAATCATAGTGACACTAGCACTTCCAAAAACATGAAATTGTAGAGAATGGAAATGGAAGCCTAAAGAAGTACACCAAAGAAGCATCAATTATATATTATTAAGCATATAGTTATGGTCAGGGGTGGAAGCAAGTGTAGTTCAGGGGGGGCAATTGCCCCCCCTTAAAAAAAATTTTAATTACATGTAAGGGCATTTTGGTAATTTGCCCCCTCTGAAAAAATTCGTTTGCCCCTTTTCTGCCCTAACATCCCGCGACGCCTCTTATTTTTGTTCTTCTTCGTGAATCACTGAATCGCAAGCCGATTCAGATTTCAGAAGCGAATCGCAAGCGGCAAGCCGATTCAGAAGCAGACCGCAGCCCTCAGCCCCTTCTTCTATCTTCTTCACGCGACAGCGGGTAGAGCATTCAGGCCGACGCCGGCAAGCCGCTCGCTCCAAGGAATCAAGATTGTGTAAGTTTTTCTTCTTGTTTCTGAAATTTATTCAGCTTTTTGTTTCTTCTTTTAAGTTTCAGATTTTGTTTGCTAAGTTTCTGATTCAGATTTTTTCGTATGCTTCAAGTTTCAAATTTTGTTTCTTCTTTCAAGTTTTTCCTTTCCAATTTTGGCTTTCCAATTTTTTAAAGGTTGCTGTATCTGTAAAGAAGAGAAAATGTATGAAACCTGTAGAAAAACATTAGAGCAAAAAAGAGAAAAACAGAGAGATAAGTTTTGGAATACTATGTGATTTTTCAATGTAAGACCTGTCACCTGTAGGATTTCAGTTCGGCTTATCAGTTGAGAATTTTTTTTTAAAATTCTTGCTCAAGGATTTAATAGATGATGCATTTTAGATTTTTGCTTAATTTTTTGTTATGAACAATATTAGTTATATTTTCTATTTTTTTTTTGTTTTTATGCTATCCAATGATCATGGTAGGAAGAGGTTTGGATTTTGCTTCCTTGGGTTTGCCGGCTTGGGGGGTCCATTTGTCCTTTGGATGTTTGTTGGTTTCATGAAGGCATTGGCTGTTTCGGTTTGAGCTTAAGTAGTTGAAACATTAGTAGTGCCAGCTCATTAATATCTAGTGGAGGAATAGCTCATTATGAGCTGATGTTTAGTTATGAAATTTTATATTGAGCCAGTGTTGGTGAGTGGAACTTGTTCTTTCCTAATTGGAGCTGCTGCAGTTTCTCTGGATTTCCTCTCCCACGGCTTGCTGTTGCTTGCTGTGCCCCCTCGGTTCTCTGCCCCTTTTCTGCCGTAACTTCCCCCCTTTATTTCCCGTGGAATGACTTGGCTGGTCCCGATTTTTGGCTCTGTGAGGGTTGGAATGCACAGGGAAAAATGGGGGTTGGGAAATAACATGCTTTCTTTCTGCAACAGTGCAACAAGCCTATTACGCTCATTTATAGCTTCAATTGCCCAGTAGCTTAATAAATCACACATGCAGGATCAAATAAATCCTCAGTGCTTCCACCTTCATGGAAAATAAACATGCAACACTAGATATTTATATGAATGTTATATCAACATACATCAAATGCATTTATGCTGTGCAATATACATTGCAAGCGCTTTGAATCATACTACTGAGCGTACTTATTAATTCAATAAAATAACCTGACTTTGGATCAACTTCAAAATTTCTCGTTCAAAGATTATTGACAAAAAAATTAGGATATATTTACATTATTATGAACCACTTTTACACACTATAAGCCATAGAAATTACAATATCAAGTTACAGCCGCTTTATTCAAGATCAAATAGAGATTTAAAATGTCTTTTAGAAGTTTAAAAAATTACTTCTAAATTAAACAAGATCCATTTGGAATCAGGGGATCTTTCCTATGAGCATGGGATGCAGGGCCGCATCGCATGGTCCACAATCCAGGTAATCAGAATTCCCTAGCGGTTTGCATAAGAATGGAATAAAAATATTCAGGTAAACTGTTATACACCAAAAGGACTTCTAGAAAACATTGGAGCGTGTAAAGATCTTAAGCGGATAAAAGTAATTACAATATAATAGTGTATTCTAATTATAATAGCATACGATTTACTAATAAGTCAATTAAAAGTAAAAACAAATCATTTAACTTCCATTAAATGCTATAAAATATGACATATTTAAAAGTAAAAACAAATCATTTAACTTCCATTAATGCTATAAAATATTACATAAATTTAAGTGTTTGCTGATTTCTTTTCAATAGCCTAAAATCCATCATCAAGCTCAACTAATGAGTCTAACAGAAACAAAGCAGATGGGCTACCGATGGATTTCATTTAATAGCAAGTTAGTGATTTGAATCGCAGAGAGACTGAAGCATAAGAAGAGTTTTTATGAACCCATGTGCATAAACGTAGCATCCCACTTTACCAGACCCAATATATCGTAAATATACTACCTTTGCTAAATAAGAGCTTAGAGAAAGAAACCCTTTCAGTGATGGAAATAAAGATTTCCAGTGTAGAATAATATAAATAAAGAAAAAAATCAATGATAATAGCAAGAATGCAACATATGAAGCCCTCTACCTCACAGCTGCCGGAATTCGATCCTTCTTTAAATTCAACATCAGAAAAGCTTCTTTTGGGCATTGCGTTAAGAGAACATATAGAGGATAATCCCCTGTTCAAAAAAACCCTACAGGAGAATATCAAGCTAAATCAGCCCAAGAAGAGCACAATCACCCAGCAAAATTTATCTACGAAATATGGCATCACAACCTTTGTTTGCATATTGCTGACATCATTTTCAAGCCTTCATCAAACAAACTAAAACAAATGAGAAGCGCGATTAAAATTGAATGAGTGGATTTCAGCACAAGGACTTAGAGAGGAAAGGCAGACGTGGCGGAAAAAGGAAGAGGGCAAACAATTTTTCCAAGGAGGGAGCGAAGCCGACGAGGCGAAGAACGGAAAGGCCGCGCAGATCTATTTATTAAGGGACGGTCTGAAGAGAGACCGGCCCTATTGGAAAACCGCTCGCGCGAGATCGCTCCGGTAGCTCTCAGCCTCTGGTGCTGTCAACTTAATTATGCGGGACAATTTTCTATTAATTATACAATACCTGATCCATTTAAATATTTAAGAATTAATTTGCAACTATCATATTTCAACTTAAATAATTAATTTAAATGAAAATAAAAATTGATTAATTATATTTAAATTTAAATAATTCCTTTAAGAAAATAATAATTGATGTAATGGAGTTTTTAATTACTATGCTCATGTTCTTCTTAATTAATTAAAAAAAATGTTTAAAAAAACTTCTCTTAATTATTAACATATTCAAATTATTTTTAAATTAGAAGAAGATGTAATGAACATTCAACTAGTTGAAATCTTATAAATCATAATCACTTATCTAATACTTCACAAATAAAACCCCAAAAACATTAAATTTATATTTCAATGTTTTTTTCCAAAAAAAAAATTATATTTTCATTGATAAATTATAATATTTAAAAGTATAAATTGCATCAGAGAATACTGAGCAGCTCACAATAAGAGATGGGATTGAGGGTAAGTGGTATCTTATGATGCTAGAATTTTGTAGGGGTCAACAACATACAAAGCATCATATTGAAGAAGACATTGATCGATTCATTGATACCTCATTTTATTTGAAGAGAAATGGCATTGAATCTCTCTCTCTCTCTCTCTCTCTCTCTCTCTCTCTCTCTCTCTCTCTCTCTCTCTATGCAGTTTAAACCTTTTGCAACCTGCAAGCAAACATATATAAAACCCTAAAGCTTGTTGCATCACTTAAAACTTCCGTGAAGCTCAGCTCATTGCAATGCCTTATCAATGCTAGCTAATATGGCGACTCACAAACGCAACATTACGTGCCTATCAAGGAAACTAGTTGACCTGGTAGAAATTAAAAGAATAATGTTGAGAAGGATTAAAGGGCCATTATATTATTCCTAGTTGGATTAGCAAACACAATATTTTTAAACTAGCTTATGATAATAATATTTGATATATCATCAAAAAATTATGTTGACCGGGCATGAATCTCGATGGAAAATCAAGTTATAAACTTCAAAAATTCAACCAGAGACCATCTAAACTCTGATTTCAGAAAACTTATAGTTGAAATGAACATCTCGAAAGCACGAACCTAACGACACCAAATTTAACTCAATCCGAGCCCAAATGGGTCCAAATTGAGGGCCCGAAGTGCTACTGAGGATTCAAACCACAATTTGGATTACCAAATGGTTTCTAAACATGACATGCTTAAAGTTGAATCAAGCAGCTCGAAGAGAATAATCCAACGAGCCCAAGATCATGAAATTCGGACATCATTAAGATCTTCAAATGTCTAGCGAACTGTCCACGATCAAGGGATTCAACATCAGCCGTCCATCCAAACCACTTCCTATTTACCATTGATCTTCCTCCTATTTATGGGCTATTCCATTCCATGAAATCTATAAATAGAGCCCCCTTCCTCTTGAAAAGTGACCCCGAAGCCCAAGGAAAAAGGAGAGAGATCTGATATCACTCTTGCTTCCGTGCCTCCTCGACCACCGCCCAGACTTTTGCCTGACCACCACCTAAGGCCCGGACTTTTGTCATACCACCACCTAAGGCTCGCACTTCTGCCAGACCACCACCTATGGCTCGGACTTCTACCGAACCACCACCTGAGGCTCGAACTTCTACCAGATCACCACTTGACACCCGGACTTCTACCGGACCACCACCTCACACCCAGAGTTCTATCAGAGTACTGACCTACTACTATGGTCTTTTTTACCCCAGTCTTCTGCCAACTACGTTCTTTCTAACCTCTGTCACCTACTATAATCCTTCCGACCTCCATCTTTAGACAAAGGTCTTTCTGACTCCGGTCTCCTGCCGACTATGGTCCTTCCGACCTTCATAGTTAGATAATGGTCTTTTTGACCCCGGTCTTCTACCGACTGCAGTCCTTCCAACCTCCCTTGCCATACAATAATTTTTCTAACCCCTGTCTCATGTCGACTACTATTCTTCTGACCTCCGTCACCTACTACAATCTTTCCGACTTCTATCTTATCGACTATGGTCCTACCGACCAAATAAACATGTTTATGTTGATTATTGTAACTCCCACCGTGTAATGTGCTCTATATGATGCACATTTGTGAAATCAAGCAAAGGCCTTCTCCCAAGGAAGGTCTCATTTGTAATCGACTACAAATACTAGTGGATTCATTCAAACTGGGCCAGGCCCCATAGGTTTTCCCTCTTTTCAGGGGTTTCCACGTAAAAACTCTAGTGTCTCTTATAAACGATACACTATCTCTTTCATTTGCTTGTGTCTCTTATAATATTGTTGTGTCCTGGAATATTCGCTGCAGTAGAGAAATATATAATTTAATGTCTTAGCATTGTACGAAGATCTATTAATGGCCAAAAATCTCGTTATTTGCTTCTAAAAATAAAGGCAATATGTTGGCATTACTTACCATTGCACACAAACGATCTATAAAAATTTCTTGCGAAGCGAGGAGACCCCAAAAATAAACATAAAATTGAAGGGAAAGAATCTTAAGCTTATGAAAGTTCGTTCATTTAGAGAACTTTGATCTGATAGCATTCCTCATGGTAATAAGGGGAGAATAGGGGCTAACTCAATCCCCAAAGAAGCGCCTATTATTTCTTTCTTACCAAAGAAAATAAATTAGGCAGCAAACCGGAAAAAAAAAAAAAAAACTAAACTGTTTTTTTGCTTTGATTTAAAGTGTTGGATATTATCAAAATGATCAAATAATTGTAATGAAGTCAGTCTGAAAAGAAACGAACGAAGCTGGGGAAGTAATTCAGTAACCACCAAAAAAGAGAAATCACACTAAAAAAATAAGGTGTTTATGAGTTTCATTAATATATCACCTCTATGCTCTTTTTGCTCTTTTTGCCACTAACGTTTATTGATTATCGTTGATTAATTTGAGTGATTCCAAAAATTTGGTGATTAGTTCTAAACAAGATTGAGGACTTAGGACACTAAAAACTATATTAATGCTTCTGCTTTTCTTCACATATATATAACTTATATCCATCATAGATGTTTTTTAAGATAATAATAGGTTATTTTAATAACTGAAAAAATGATTTTAATTATTGAAGAATGGTTATTTTTTTTTTTCTTTTCTATAAAAAACTTGGATAATATTTTTGACTTATTCAAAATGTTGTAAGTTACAAAAACTGCATTATAACTTATTTAAAATATAATTTCTCATAAAAACTAACATTCTCTCTCACTGCATCTAAATATTCCATCATTAATATATGATGAAACAAAATTTATGGAGAATGGTGATTGGTCCTCTAAAAAAGTGTTCTCTCTCCCATATATCGCCATATAATAATCCTCTCTTTCTCATAATTGAAGACTATGAGATTAATTATAATTGAGAATAATTATTTAATACTCATTATAGGGATTGTAGAATCGAGTGCCCACAAGCAGACATTTAAAGCATAACAGTAGAGTTAAATATTAATAACTAAGTGATAGTGTCAGAAGATGGAAGTTTTATAATGATGTCAATGATTGTTGATGGTGGCCTTCAATGGTGATGAATAAAAGTTATAAAAGAGTTTGTTAGCTCTATTAGCTCTCGAAATCTTCATTTTCATGGAAAGAATGAGGCCCTATTTGTAAGCTTTTTGAGAGGGGATCTTTAGTAAATTTAACCAAAATCCTAAAAAATCCATTATATGGTTCATATTGGTATACGTGTGTAATAACTCGTATTTTGATTCAAGCAAATAAATTTTTTTTGGAGTCAATATAACTCCAAATCATAAATTGTATTTGTCATAACATTGTTATTGTAGGGTTTTACTTGCATGATTTTTTGTAAAAAATTTTAGGCACTGTAAAAAATCCTACAAAAATTGGTACATATCGGTATAAGTGAGAATTTTGGGATCGTCACGTGTCCGTTTTGCAAATCGATTTCACCGATAATTTTTTTATAAAATAATTTATTTTATTTTTATATGATTTTATTACATTAACATAATTTCAAAAGTATTTATTGATGTTTTGATTTGATGCTTTATCTAATTTTTATACTGATTAATATTATGGATGCGACAATTATCTTATAGATTTAACACTCATACTAGTTTGCTACTTTACTAACTTTCGTACTATAAGATTTTACTGTTTATAGATTCTACAACAACTGCATGTAAATTTTACTATTTTTATACTGATTCAATGATCATATGAATGTAACTGCTATAATATGATTGTTGATATACATATTGCTCATTTGTCATACTTTGATTTTAGTTATAAGTTTTGGTGACCTACTGGGCTTTTTAGCTCATTATATGTGGTTAAATGATTACAAGTTAGGGTAGAGGAACAAAAGTGTGAGACTGGCCAAAATTCTTCAGGTTCTATTTTTTTCATTTATACTCGGGATATAATAGTTATGATATGATTATATAGATCTAGAGTATTATATATGATTTTTGGGAATGAATATAGATGTGTATATTGATGTTTTAAATTATAGAATATGTTTTATTGTTTATTATTGATAAATGATATTAGATAGCTCTGATTGTTGTTTATTAAAAGATAAATAAATAATTCTTCTAAATTAGATTATGGGGCATTACACCTTAATCATAGATTATTTATCTAACATTTGAGTGCCTTAGGATCGATATCATAATCAAATAATATTCAGCTCTTAAATTCATCTCGTTAAGCCTCTCACTTTTATCATAAGAACACAAGATTTGTAGACTGTTTGGCCCTTAACTTTCAAAAGTAGTCTAATATACTTTTAAGTGCTTGATTTTGGTTTGTTTGTAGTTATATCATATCATTTTAGTGCTAATGGGTTCGTCTTGTTGATACATTCTACTCAGCTATAAGTTTATGAAAATAAGAGTTTGATTGCTTCAATATTTAATTATAAAAGTTTTAAATTTGAATATTTTCTCACAGTTCATATCTATCATGTAACTTTTTTAGACATATTAAAGGTAAATAAAAAAGATGACAAATAAGAAAG